GTTTTGGTACTCCCACCCTGTGCCGAACTATCTTGATTGTAAGTGTATGAACAAAAATTCAATTAATCCACTATAGCTGGCTTTAGTCCTTGCTTCATATCTTATCTAGCTGTCCATTGTGGCTATCTTGCCATCCACCCAGCCCATGCAGCACATCCTTCCCCCGTTCCTCTTACTCTGGGTTCAGTAACAAAATCAATACAGCTATACTATAATTGCTTCTGGAAAGAATGTGACAGTTGACATAGATCCTATGGATCTATGACTTCCCAGACACTCCCTTACTTTGCTACCACTCCTATATGTTTTGTTTCCCTTTATTAAAATATAAGCTTCTTGAGGGGCAGGGCCTGTCTCATTTTTTGTATTTATATCTCTATTTCATAGTACCTGGCACACAGTAAGCACTTAATAAATGCTTTTTATTCTTTTATTCATCTACAAACTCACATACTACAAACTGATTCCATAAATACAAACAAAAAGACTTCACTCAGTTTCTTCATCTGTAAAATGAGGTTGGAGTAGATAATCTCTAGGCTACCTTCTAGCTCTATCTATGATTCTGAGGAATTAAAAACAATTTAATTTCTGACAATAGTTATCCTGTGAATCACCAAGTGTTTATTAACCTCTTACCATACACCATTACACTAGGCACCCAGGATACAAGTACAAAGAATGAAGCAATCCTTCCTTGTAATGAACTTATATCCTAATGGAGATGACAACACGTACACATAAAAATATACAGTATATTATAAACATAATGAATATAAATATATACAAATAGTTAAATATAAGATATTTGGGGAAGGCACTAGTAATTTGGGGGACTGCTTCATGTAGAAAATGGTATACACACACACATATATAGCATATATATGAAAATATAAATGCATACAAATATATACAATGTAGTTAAATATAAGGTAGTTTAGGAAGGCTCTAGCAGTTTGGGGAACTGAGAAAGGCTTCATACAGTGAATGGTATATATATTTTAAATATATATATATAGATATAATAAATACAAATACATACAGAATTGTTAAATATAAAGAAGTTTGGGAAGGCACTAGTAGTTTGGGGGACTAAGAAAGGCTTCACGCAGCAAATGGTGCCTGAGCTGCATCTTAATGGATAAGAGGGATTCTGAGGAGGAGGTAAGGAAGGAGGGCTTGAAAAACATAGAGCTGGGAAATGAAGTGTCATGTGTGAGGAACAGAAGACCAGTTCAGCATAATTACAGTGTAGTAGGGAGAAAACTGATGTATAGATAGGTTGTGACCTGGTTGTATAGAACTTTTAAAGCTAAACAGAGGGCTTTATGTTTTACTCTAGAGGCCACAGAAAGTACTAAAGTTGTTTAAGCAGTAGAGTCATGCGGTTAGGTAGGCACCTAAAGAAAATGCAGCAATATTAGAATGGAATGCTGAGAGACTTGAGTCAGGGAGACTAATTAGAAGGCTGTTGCAATAAGCAAGGTGAGAGGTGATGAGGCTTTGAACTAAAGTGGTACTGTGTGAGTGAAAAGAATGGATCGGATGCAAAAGATGCTGTCACAATAGAAATGGCAGGATTTGGTAAATGATTGGATGTATGGGGTAAAGAGAGTGAGGAGTCAAGGATAATAATAATATTACAAACCTGGGACACTTGAGAGGTGGTTATGCCTTGGACAAAAATAGGGAAGTTTGGGAAACGGAAGGGCTTAGGCTTGAGGGGGAAATATAATGAGTTCCATTTAAGATGACTTTGGGACATGTAGTTTGAAATGTCCAATAGGCAAGTGGTGATGAGAGACCTAAGCTCAGGCAAGAGACTGGGGCTAGATATGTAGATCTGGGAGATACATGCATTGAGATGATAATTAAACTCATGGGAGCTGATGAAGTTACGGAAAACATATAGAAGAAGGCCCAGGAGAGAACACTGGGGAATATACACAGTCAGAGTTCATGATGGGAATGCTGCCTAGCAAAGGAAAATGAAAATTAGTTAGAAAAGTAGGAGACAAACCAGGAGAGAATAGTATTACAAAAACCCAGAATGGAAAGAATGTCTAGGAGGAGAGGACAGTCAGCAGTGTTAAGTGCAACTCACAGGTCAAGAAGGGTTAGGACTGAAAACAGAGACTTAGAAATTAGATTACTAATGAGAGAACAATTTCTGTTAAGTGATTAAGTTGGAAGCCAGATTTCAAAGGGTTGAGGAATAAGAGAGAAGTATATAAAGGCAGTAAGTATAGACAACTTTTTCAATGAGAAAGGGAGGAAAGATATAGGATGATAACTTGAGGGTGATGGTAGAGTCAAATAAAGATTTTTTTTTCAGGAGAGGAGAAATAAGCATTTTTGAAGTCAGTAGGGAAGGAACCATTTGCTAAGAAGAGTTCAAGAAGAGAGACAATCGAGGATGTACTCTGCTGGAAAAAATGGGAGAGGATGTGATCAAACGAACACATAGAGTGATTTGCCTCTACATATGGGAACAGGGTCACCTTGTCAGACTGAGGGAAAATGGAGAAAAGAATGGGAGATGATGTCAAGGGATTCAGAAATGAAGGGAATGGGTCCTGTCGAAGTTGAATAACATGAATTTGTAATTTGTTCTATCAAGCATTGCTGCCTATGGATCAACTCACCATCTCTGACTCCCCCACTAACACTCCTTTCTCTAGCCAACCTCCCCTATGTTTTCTCTAATTAGAATGTAGGTTCCACAACAGTAGAGACTGTCTCTTTTTACATTCTTATCCCCAGTGCTAAGCAAAGTGCCTGGCACATAGCACTTTCATTTATTCATTCATTGAGACTTTTCCCCTCCAATATGAGTGATTGAAGATGTCAAAGTCTCAGAAAAATTTAGGATTGTTACTGGATTTTTAATCCTTTTATTGAGTATTGCTCTCTACCAGGGTTTCTTAACCTGGAGTTCATATTGTCAATAAGTAATTTAAATATCAACCTGACCAAACCGGTCTCTAACCTGTGGATGGCCTGAGCCAAAGACAGCAGGCTGGAGGCAGGAGAGTCAGGAATCAAACAGAAGTTTAATATCAAAGTAAGAGAAACAACATGCAAGCAAAGTCCACCTGTGTAAGAAGGGGAACTTACCTACTTGTGGTAGAGGTATGGTTTTTAAGCATGAAAACCGCAAACGGCTGGACCACAACTCAGGCATTCTTGGGTCTTATATGAACAGTTTCCAAGGCATTAGGATTTTTGAGCCTTGTGATTGTTCAGTGGGTCACAGAACCAAGGTTAGCATGGCTGGGAACAGAAGCCAGTCCCCTGCTTTGGTTCATTTGGTGGTTACAAGGTAGGGGATTATTAGCATGTCAGGGGATCTGATTGATCACTTTTGACTACAAGCACGTCAGCCTCAAGCTTCCAAGTCAGGGTCCCCTGGAAAGTAGGGAAGCTCCAACAAATCTACATAGAATAATCATTACACATGTCATATCAATTAATGTGGAAGTTATAAATCTCATGACAATATTTTTCCAAAAAAATCTAATATCAGTATTTTAGTATAATTAATTTCCTTTGTAATTCTGTGTATTTCAAAATATTTTTCTGAGGAGAGATCCATAGGCTTCATCATACTGACAAAGAGTGATTAAAAAAAAAAAAGGTTAAGATAATTCTGTTCCACACTAAAGTTATGTACTAACACCTTATCTGGTTTGGAGGTGATCCTAGATTCTCAGGGGAGGACCTATCAAGAAAGCTTTGATTACTGGCTGTGTGACCCTGGGCAAGTCACTTAACCCCAGTTAGAAAGAAAGAAAGAAAGAGAGAGAGAGAGAGAGGAGAGAGAGAGAGAGAGAGAGAGAGAGACAGAGAGAGAAGGAAGGAAGGAAGGAAGGAAGGAAGGAAGGAAGGAAGGAAGGAAGGAAGGAAGGAAGGAAGGAAGAGAAAGAGAAAGCTTTGAATATAGATCTTAAAACAAGGTTTCATGTCTCTTGTCCAGGGTCTAGCCTAGGTGAAAGTCTAGAGAGGCCTGTCACCAGAAGGTCATCCACCTTTGAATCTCTTTGGCCAAAGCAAGTCATGAAGTAGACCAGCAGTTGATAAAAATAATTCCTTTTTAAAATATACAAGATTTGGAGGGGGTGTGTGTGGGTGTGTTTTATGGCATTGAGTTTATTTCAGGTGTAATTTTCATTTGAAACAATTTGGAGTTTGGGGGTGGTGAGTGAGACAGGGAGGAGGGAGTTATGCGGCTTTCTATCTAATTCCACAATAACACCTCAAGGATCTGTGTCTCCAGGCTCGTCCCTTCACCACGTGAAGTGCCACCCTCACAAGGTAAGTCTGACGGGTTGCTGAAGCCTGTTGCCCACGGCCCCTCAGGTGTGTCACTGCCAGGTCCATCCTGACTTCAAGCTGCTTCGGAAGCCAGTAAGGCCGTAGATTTAGAGTGGGCCAGGGGCCTTGGAGGCCAGCTAGACCAACCACCGGAGTTGGAAGTAACTTGACCCAAGTCACACTGGTCATACCAAGGGACAAAGGGCAAGATTTGCTGATTCCAAAACCAGCGCTGTCTCAATACCTCACACGTTGGCTTACTTAAAAAAACTCATTCGCAGGTGTGATCGCATTTTGATCCCCTCCCCAGAACTGTGCGGTGTGTTGTTTTGTTTTGTTTCTCAGAGGAGGAAACGTGGCACAGTGATTAAGCGACCCGCTCAAGTTTCAGTGATCTTCCAGATCTAATTAACAGCCGGGGCACTAAACTCCAGCTCTCGCGACAATTCCAGCGGGCTCCGCCTGGCGTGGGCGGGGCGACGAGTCACCAAGGAAACACGCTGCAGCTCCCATAACCTCCAGCGCCAGGCTCCCTCTTCCGAAGCGCCTTTCCAAACGTTCCAATTTCCCCGGCGCAGGCGCACGGGAGAAGGAGGGCAGGGCCGTTGGCTTTGGCCTCGAGCGATCTTCCGGATTGCTAGGAGGCAGGAGGGCACCGGGCGGCCGTTGCGTCTTTTCTGGCCTAGCCCAAGGATCCCCAGAAGCCGAAGGAATCGCTTCCAGCGCCGCCTGTGCCCAAGCTTCCAGTGCCACAGGGCGTCGGCAGTGAGTAACCGGCAGCCCCGGGATCTCACAGGCAGCTGGGCGATGGGGAGCACGAGGGGCGGGAAACCAGTCGGCAGGGGACGCTGCTCTTGCGGACCTGGGCCCTGTTTCGCCTCTCTCTTCCCTAGCTCCAGGAGGCCCCTCCCCACGGCCCCAGGCCCCGCCCCTTTCTCCTTTCCGGCCCGGAGCCGCGAGACCGCCTGCTGGACTTTAATCCTCCTGCTCCCTGGCCCACGCGGTTTTCTATCCATCACCCCCCCCATAATTATCCCCTTATTTTTTTCTAATCTCAGTCCCTTTATGATACCATAAACCCCGCGGGAAGAAATATGGGGGAGCCAAGGTTCGTTGTCCATTACCAGGGTGGCCTCCAGAGGAATGGTTCCAAAGCACCCTCAGCCTCAAATGCACATAGTCCCGATTTAGTCATGGAAGAGAGGGCGTGTGTGTTGAGTCAGTTCTTATATAATGCGTAGGAATCAATAATCTTAAGGGGAAAGAGAGCCTTTTGGAAATATTTTAGAATGTATTTTTTAAAAAAAATAATTCTACCATATTGAATCTATTTTTTTCCCCCAACTGATGTCAGGAATTTTATACAGAACCTCACTTGTAGTGGTTTAATACAACACCGATAGATAAAGCCAAACAGCATAGTATTGCAAATTGAAAGAAACCTTAGGTTTGAGCTCAGATCTGATTTTGAATCTTGGTTCTGTCACTTGTTAGAGGTGTAGCCTTGGAAAAGTCACTTCAGTTTATCAAGCCATAATTTCCTCAGTAAAATGAGTCTGATACTGTTTGCTCTACCTACCTCACAGGGTTGTTGTGAGGATCAAAGGAAATGTGTATATAAAGTTTTTTTAACTTAAAGTGCATGTAATTGTGAGCTATTTTTATTTATTGTTTTCCGAAGGTCCTTTTTATACTGCACACAATGGCCTATGAACTGGACTAAGAATTCCGAAGAACTTAGATAACTTTCTACTTTAAAGTACACTGAGTTTATCAGGAGAGCTAATTGTCAGGTTGGAAGTTAGGTAGAGACTTCCTGAGGGGGATGACGTGTGGGAGAAAGTGAAGGTAGGAGAGAAGTATGGTGTACTAGTTAAGGTCTGGAGGTGGGGTAGGGAAGTGTTACTGAATGGTGTCCAAGATGGGAACATGAATAGCTTTGGGTAATTAAAGTTAGGACTTTCGAGCTACCACTAGAACTCTCATGTCCAGAGGTAATGATTGATTCATTGTTCTTAACATACAATCTTTTTACTTTTTAATCATGTTACCCTACATATAGATACAGACACATTCACTTATTTTGGTTAAAAGGGCAGCAGTTATATATATATGAGTAGCTGCATACCACTCGTTTTTATTCAGGGCCTAACATGTTATCCTGGGGAACAGGAAGAGTAAAAGGGAATGAAGTATTAAGAGTGTAGGAATTTTAATTCTGGTGGAAATATACAGCTAGATGACCCAGTGGATAGAGCACTGGCCTGAAGTCAGGAGGACCTGAGTTCAAATCCGACATCAGACCAAACACTTGACACTTACTAGCTGTGTTACCCTGGGCAAGTCACTTAACCCCAATTGCCTAAAAATAAAAAGAAATATAATAAAGGAATTTTAATACTACTAGAAATGTAAGTGCCAAAAATGAATGTTAAAAATTATCTTTACATGTAACTGGGGGAAGAGAAAATATTATTTAAAAAAAAAGAAAGAAATGATAGTGCCTTTCAGGGATTCATTAGTAAATAGAGTCTGGGGAAAGTATTTGTTACAAAATATATTGTGTGCTAGAGAAGAGCAGAAAGGAGTAAAACTGTAAGAGAAATCTATGTAACACACATCATTTCATGGGTTCTATATCAGTTGCTTCCCATTTGGAATAGGAAGCTATATAACATTGGTGGCCCTGAGAGGAGTGATTCTACTGCATCTATTAAGCTAAATTGCAAATTCTTATTAACTTCAAAACTCCTAACATATTAAAATTCCCTTTCAGAAGGGTAGAAAGTACTGAATTATTTAAAATTTCAAGAGGAAAGTGGAATTTCTACCATTAGATTTAATCCTGCAAAAATAAATCACTTTATTATAGAAGTCAAAATATATATCTAATAAATTGAGAATATTATCTATCTTTCTGTTATGTCTGACAGTAAATGTCTTTGGGTCTCAAAATGCTGAATGTTCTTAACACAGTTTGAATCTCCAACTGCTTTTTTGCCAGAAGGATTGGAAATGTTTAGCTACAGACAGGTAATTGTAGATTGTGTATTTTTGTAATAATAGTCAACTCTGTTTTGTGTTTTATCCTCATTAAAGCAAAGTATAAAGCTGAAAAAAATGTTTTTGACACCACTGCTATGCAGTACCATGATAATACTGTCCAAGGTTCTTGTTAGATACTGTTCATTTTAGAAGTACCTGATATCTACCACAAGGATTTGCAGTTCTACCAAAGAGAATGTTCATTTCTTAACTATACTTGCCTCATCTAGCACTTAATCTACATTCTGTCCTGTTAAATCTAGCACATAGTTTTCTATATTTTTGAAACATGACTAGAATCAGAATCATTGTACAACAAATGGAAATATAGGCATAATTGTAACATGTATCAATGTTTAACATAGAAAACATATTGCAGCAAAAGTACTACTAAATGTGGACTGAAAAACCAGATCTTAAAAAAAAATCTCAAAAATCAATTGGAATTATGATTATTCTATACTTTAAAAAACTGCTTTATTTTATATTATCATTTTAAGTAATACAATTACTAAATTTACATAAAAACCTGACTTTAAATTTTGAAAGTGTTTTGAATGCACTGAGTAGCACTCTGGTATTTCTTTTGCATGTTTCTTGGTAGAATTTTTTATTTTTTATGGAATATCCACTTGAATAATTGGCTTATCAGTATGTACCATGTATGTCCAGGTCTACTGGACAAGCTCTTTTGTTGGACATACTTAGTATGTTGCTTAGCAGTGAAGCAGTTAACTGAGATGGCATGTAAGTGGTTATAATTAGAATTTAAAGTTAACTTCCCATTAAAATGAATGGAATTGCAGGATGAACATCTCTTTACTGTTTTGAACAAGCTGGTTCATTGCTGCACAGAACATGTACTATTAAATGTTATATGTACATATATACTACCACTTACAAAAAACGTGAATATATCTAGAAATATAACATTACCTTGGGCCCTGAATAAATATGTAAAAATCAAGGTTTCAAAACTAATCCTAGTAGTACTACTAATTTTGAAATATATTTAAATCAAGCTTTATTTTAACAGTCTTATCTGGAAAATTGAAACAAGTTAATTCAATAAACATTTGAGTTCAAGGCCTCATATAAGCTATTGATGGATATTTGAAGATAAATTGAATTGTCCTGCCCTCTAGAGATGATGTACACATAAGTAATTACAGTGCAAAATAGTGCTAGTAAATAAGACAAGTATAAATAAAGGGTTCTGAGATTTTAGGGAAAGAAAAATTCATTTCTGTCCCAGAGTTTGAGATGTCATGAAAAAACAGGTTTTTAATAGACAGTGGTAGGAAGAAAGGCTTAGTAGGGAATGGTATGAATAAAAGCTTAGGTTGTGTTTGTGTTGAGTTTTATCTGACTCTGTGACCCTATTTGGGTTTTTCTTGGCAAAGATGCTGAAGTGATTTGGCCTTTCTTCAGCTCATTTTACAGATGAGGAAACTGAGGCAAAAAGGATTAAATGAGTTGCCCAGGGTCACACAGTTATTTAGTAAGTGTTTGAGGCCAGATTTGAACTCGGGAAGAGTTCATGATTCCAGGCCTAGCACTCTTTTTCACTTCCCCACCAAGCTGCCCCAGGATGTGTTTAGGGAACCCTTAGTAGTCCTGTTTGACCAGGCAAGAATTTAGAGTACAATGAAGGCCATAAGACGAGATAAAACTAGAAAATAGGCGGGAACCATGTATGGGATCTAAAAGCTGGGCTAAGAATTAGGACTTTTGTTTGGTAGGCAATAGAAAAACATCACATTTTTTGTGTTTTGTTTTTAGTGGAGTAATAATTCAGATATTTGAATTAGAAGTCACTTTGATAGCAGTGTATAGTCTGGATTAAGACAGAGCAGGGGGAGTTACTGTAAACAAAGAGACTATCACATTAGTCCAGCCAATGAGATCCTGAACTAGTGGCAGTGAGGGATCAAAAGGAGTGGATGGATGCAAAAATTGGGAGGGAATAAAATCAGTAGCAAGTGGTAGATAGTAGAATTTGGAAGTAAGGAAGAAGAGGAGTATTCAAGGGAGAATATCAGGGATGACATTCACTGTTTAAGCTTGGGTGTTAGAATGGTAGTGCCATTAATAGAAATAAGTACATCAGGAGAGTAGGGGAAGCGGATTTTGGAGGGAAGATGATAACCTTGTTTTGAGTGTGTTGCATTGGAGATGAAGACAAAACATCCACACAAAGACATCTAGCGGGCTTGAAATTTTGAAGTTATCTACGGAGGTGACAGTTAAGCGGTGGATTGCAAAAGAATGGAATGAAGATAAGTGGTGAAGGTAAAGGACTGATCCTCAGAGAATGTCTACAATTTAGGGTTAGGAGGAAGAAGAGGAGCCACTGAATGAGGAGGGGAAAAGGAATCAAAGAAATAGGCAAACCAGGAACATATTGGAAGCCAGTATCTACTACTATGCTATTTAGTGTTTATAAATTTTAGCAGAGTAAAATATATAATATTAGATTTTATGAACATTGACTCAAAATGACTTATTTTCAGAATTTCCATTTTATGTGGTTTGACTTCGCTGTATTTCATCCACTAGAAATAATGTTTTAGTGGAAGAATGGTTTCTAGGACACAGTGAAAATTGAGTATGCATTACATTTGATTTACTGGTTTATATGTTTGGAAAGGTGTAACTATTAGAAGTATACTGCAGATAGCATTCTGCACTCATTAGATTCTGATCTTTGATGTCCCTCTAGCATTTGAAACTCATCATGTCTAAAGTTGAACTCATCACTTTCACCCTAGATCTACTTCTCCCCCTAACTTCTCTGTTTTGATTCATGGCATCACTGTCTTCCAAGTCACCAGTCTTCTAAACTTAGAGTTCTTTCTTGACAGGTTCCTTTCCCTAACCCAACACATCCACGTCCTGTCATCTATATCTGTACAATTTTGGGGGTTTTTTTGGCACCACTTCCTATTTCAGTCACCCTAGTTCAGGCTTTACCTGTTATCAACTAGGCTGCTGTAATAACCTCCTCATTGGTCTTCCTGCCTTCAACTTCTTCTCTCCCAAGTACATCAACACACAACCTGGACCTCTTTTCAGAATAATAGTTTGCTGCCTACACTTACAATAGAAGAAAATGCCAGATTTCAGTTTGAGATACGAAAAAAAGACAGTTTTTTCCCATTCAAGTTCATGGACTCCCTAAATCAATCCAGGGACCCCTTAGGTCTGTGGACTCCAGGTTAAGAACCTCAGTCACTTTTAATGTCTTCTTGTTGCCAAACAAATACAATATAAATTCCTAATCCTGGTATTCAGATCCTTCCACAATCTGGGTGTAACCTACCTGTTCAGCTTCCTTTCATCCTACATTCCTGTTTATATTCTGTGTTTCAAATGCACTAGACTACTCTCCACTGCCCTTTTATAGCTTTCTTCTTCTCAGTTCCATGTGCTGTGCACCATACCTGGAATAGCCACTTCCTATCTATTAATGTGTTCCTTATTTCATGCCCAATTTAGATTCTTCCCCCAAAATGAAACTTTCCCTGATCTTTCACCCTCTCCTCCAAATGATCTCAATCTCTCATAGCACTTTGTTTAGAACGCTACTTTGCACTTATGTCCCTTTCTCCTGTATCATAGGTTTTCATTATTTGTGTTCTCATCCATTGGAGTATAAGCTTTTAGAGAGCAGCGTCTGTGTCATATCTTTGTTTATATCCCCACACACCTGAATGCCTCAAATACCATAAGTAGGCTCTTAATAGGTATTGGTCAAGTTGAATTCAAATTGCAAAGGACGTGTATCTTTAAATTAGTGACCTGAGTAACTCTGGAGCCCACCTTATAGCTGTCATGGACTTTATGTCTTAGTTTTGGTTCTCACATTGATCTGTCACAGGATGGGGCACTGCAGTGATCTGAGCAAATGGACCAGGATGGCAAGCAGTTAAGAAGGGGAGAAAGAAGAAACAGCGATTTTCCAGCAACAAGGAATGGGAAAGAGTGAGAAGAAAGATCTTACATTCCCTTCCTAGGAACAAATGGCAATAAGAAAAGAGAATTTTAAAATACGATCACGTGGGAATGGTGGGATGTTTTGACATTCTGCTGTACTATTAAAAATAATAGTGTATCAGAAATATGCATACATATTAGCTTAAAACATCAGGATTAGAATATAATATTAAGACATCATGTCATATCTTTGAATGTAATTGAGAATGAAATAAATAGCTTCCCAAGTCTATTCTAGTTTGTTGTTTTGTTTTTCAAGAAAAAAGTCATAAATCCTACCCACTTTTGGAATTCGGTGTGGAAAAACTTAACCTACTTGACATATTTTAGTCCTTTTTAAAATGCTTCTCTAAAATGTCTCACTTTAAAAGCTATTTACTGTTGTTTAAAATCAATTATCTAAGAATTCTAAACTTTAAGATGAAAAGTACCTAAGTATGCATTTCGTAAAATGGAGGACTGTTGTGAGGAGGAATTTGTTAAAATGCCCACTTGGTACTTAGTTTCAGATATCAAGATGGGTCAGGAAGGTTTAGGGAAAGCGTAGTGGCCTTTGCTGTACCTCGTAATCTTTAATAGAATCTTGCTTAAAGTCTGAGGCTGAGGTTTTTATTACAGTAGTGGTTACAAACAGGTTATTGGGAAATATATGTATTTTTAAAATTTTAAGTCTTTCTATGGGGGGGCATTTCAACAGTTTGTCATAATTATAAGATAATATTGTTTTAACATCTTTCAGAAAAAAGACTGGTGGTAAAACTTCTGTAGACATGGCTAGTTCTGACATGAAACCAAAATCAATAAGTCGTGCCAAAAAATGGTCAGATGAGATAGAGAATCTGTACAGATTTCAGCAAGCAGGATATCGGGACGAAATTGAATATAAACAAGTGAAGCAAGTCGCTATGGTAAGGTAGATTGTAGAAGAAGAATAATTTTCCTATATCAGAATAGTTGTTATGTCCCATTCAAGAAGCAACATATTTGTTTTTATGTTTATCTGTTATTATGCTTTTCTTTCTGGCATTTGAAGGGGTTGGAGGACAGGGATGAGGGGATGGAGTTCCAACCTTGAATTTGAAATTTTTTTTTTCTTTTAAGGAATTTAAGTTAGTGTTTATGAAGAAGTTGATCTAATAATCTAGGCCACTAGGTATTGCAGTGGATGGGGTGTTGGATTTGGAGTCAGAAAGACTTGAGTTTGATTCTTTCCTGGAATGCTTACTAGGTGTGTACCTCTGGGCAGTCACTTAACCTGGGTCTCTCAGTTTTCCCATTGGTAAAATGGGTATAATAATGGCATCCATCTCATATTTGATCCTCACAAGAAGCTGTGAGGATCAAATGAGCTAACATTTGTAAAGCACTTTGTAAAACTTAAAGTGATAAATGCTAGCTATTATTGTTAATGTTTAGAATATAACTTATTAATAATGGGCATTAGCCAGGTTCAGCCTTAATGAAATTCATCTTGGTTAAGCATTCAGAATTTTCTTTATAAGGATGCTGTAGTTATAAATGCTTTGCATTTTTCATATAGATAAAGCTGTGTACAAAATGCCTAGTTAATTCAGGCTTATTATCTACTTTCTGTATCCTCAGAATCTTTAGATTCTCATCTTTCGCTTCTATCCAGCTGGATAGCTTTTCTTATTAGTGCTTGGCACTTCTACAAAAAAAGGGGGTGGAAAAATGAAAGATGAAAAAAAAAATCTCTGGCTATTTATTAGTAACTGTGATTTAAAAAAAAAACCTGCTTGGAAATGAGTTTAAAATTATTGATCCTAATTGAATTATGTATGATTTTTATTTATCAGAATTATCACAAGTATTTGAAGTTGACTATATTCCTATAACCACAGGAAGGGTTCTTAGGGTTTTTTGGTACTACAATAGTTTTGAAATATATAGAATAGGAACAATATTATTTGAAGAAGGCTAAAATAAGCCCCAATCCTTCAGCTGTAGGCAGGGCTGTCCTCAAGGGTCTGTAGCAGTCTCTTTTAGTACTGAATGTTTGCACATTGAGTCCTCACCTTTCAATCAGTCAGTCAGCAAGGATTTATTACATTTTTGTACAGGCAAAACCAGAACTCTATTTCTTAATCATGGAATGGAGGAGAGACCCTTTATTATTGAAGGGTATTCATGCCAGCAGAGAACAAGGTCTAACAAGTCCTTCCAAGCTAAAAGTCTTCAAGTATAGCCTGGGGAGAACTAGTCTAGCTGAGTGAGTTAGGAAAAGCGGATGGATCCATACCAACTCAAAAAGGCTTAACATTAACATTGTGTCAATTAAAAAAGGTATTCATTCTGATTAAATCAGATTTCTTTTAAGTATTAAAGTAAGGCTGTACATCAGTGAACAATAAGAGCAGTTCTAAAAGAGAAAAGTAGTCACAAAAGGATACCCTGAGGAATGGATGTAGAAGAGGACAAAAGCAGCCTTAACCTGTGTTGTTTAAGTATTGTGGGATGATATGTAATATATAAACCTCAGATTTTGTTTTGTTTTTAGTGGTTGGCAGGACCACCTCCTCCCTTGCTAGGTACCTCTCAGAATTTTTCCAGAAATGTGGTCCTCGAAAGTTTAGGCCTGCAGTCAGACTCACTTATCTTTCCTTAGGAATGGCTTTGCCCAAAGGTAACATCTTGTAGAAGTGATGCTGGTGAGGCAACTCATCAAGCCACAACGTAGCTTGCAGTAATAGAGCATTGACTTTGGAGAACCTGAATTCAAGTCCCAAGTAACTAAGATCTTTATTGCAGTATCACCTTGGGTAAATCACTTAATATACCTAGGCATCAGTTTCTTAATGGCAAATGGAATTGAACTAAATTTATTTTTAAAGTCCTTTTGTGCTCAAAATTATATTACCTGAAGGCATGAGAAATTTGAATTTCCTTGAATATGTTCTATGTCGTGGCCATTGTCTAGAAATTCTAATATGGTTCTAGGAAGAAATGATAAAATGAGTAAGTTTTATATTTTTTGTTCCAATTGTTTATCTGAAAGTCTATATATATAACTTTGTTGAAGAATAAAAGTTTTATACAAGTTAAATACTTTAATTTTTTTATTTTGAACTATCAGTATAAAATACCAAGAATTCTTTTGCATTTAAGTACTTCATAAATATTATAATATTTGTTTATTTTCTTTGTGTGTGTGTATGTGTGTGCAGGTAGATCGTTGGCCAGAGACAGGCTATGTGAAGAAACTTCAGAGAAGAGATAATACTTTCTATTACTACAATAAACAGAGGGAATGTGAAGACAAGGAGGTTCATAAAGTGAAAATTTATGCTTATTAGCATTTCTTCCTTGTGTGATTTGTTATTTATTTTAAAAAACCCACTGAGTTTCATGAAATAACATGTAAAATGTATGTCAGATCACCAGCTGTACTCTTCACCTTAATGCTTTGCAACATAAAAGTAATGAAATTAGCTTTCTTTTAAGCCACCTTGCCCCATAGTTTAAAATATCTGATAGATAAATAAAATATCATCTTCTAAAAAGAAATCAGGGGGAAATTGGTTATTTCTCTATTTTTGGGATTGAGTTAAAAAGCAAATAACTTATTTTTTCAGGAATGTTGTAATATTAAATCAACCCCATTTATGCTAGAAGGAATCATGCTTTTGAATCATGTCTGACACTGCATAGGATTTACTTAAGTTTTTGAGTGACTGCAAATGCGATTTTACCAAGATAATTTTAAAAAGATGATATAAACCTTGTCATTAGCATCACTCCACCTAGTACAGTCCTTTTTGATTTTTCTTCAACTTCGTCAAGGCATAAATGGCAGACTCTGTAGGGCAAAGAAGAGGAAAAAATTTCCAGCTTACCAGATTATCTGAGGAAGCCAGACATAAACCTGACTACCTTAGATACTCAGCATAGCCAAGTTGCCAGAAAGCAATTGAGGCAGCTTAAAATGGCAGTGGATAGAACACCAGGCCTGTAGTCAAGAAGACCTGAGTTCAGATACAGTGTTATATACCTACTAGCTGTGTGACCCTGGGCAAATCACTTTGTTTTCCTCAGGTCCCTCATCTTTAAAATGCAGAGTTGTTGTGAGGCTCAAATGAGATCATTGTAAAGTACTTGGCACATAGTAAGTGCTATATAAATGTTATCGTTATTATTATTATCATTATCTGAGGGGATTTATATAGGAGCTAAGCTTCATCAAAGAATAATCATTATATAGTTTTCTCTAGTGATTCAGTTTAGTTATACCAGGCCCTTCTTCCCCGACTCCACCCCACACTGCCCTACCCCAAGAGAGGAGACAGAAATATTTAGAATGAATGATAGAATGATGAGAGCAGCCTCTGACCAACAAGAGGAATTCTGCCTATTTAGCTGACTTACTCATGACTAGAGTATTCAAAATACCTGGAATCTTAATTGGTGTATTTGTAAAAGGCTACAGCCCCCGTAGCTGTAAAACCTCTTGTTTTAAACCCTCCCACCCACCACTCTTCCGCTAAGAATTGGTCTATTGTCTGGATAGAGACGATTGCCTGGGTTAATTGTGTGACTTCATTTCTCCAAAACAGATAAATAAATATGGGGACTCAAGAGTGGTGGTCAGGCATCAGCAAATAGCTCCTTATACCCTTTTCTTTTTAATATGCTTGAGCATTCCACTAGTGATTTGATTGCTATTAATAAACTCTGTACTTAGATTCCAGGAGAATGTGACTATGTTTCTATTTTTTGAGATTCAGAACCAGACTAACTCAACTAACTATAGTTTCCTATCATCTTTTTCTTTGTCAGTCCATTCCCCTAAATAGTGTTCAGAAACCCAAGCAAATACTCAGGCTTCTTATATAATTACATTTCCCACAGAGCCAATAAACATTCTTATGCAGTACACAGGTTTGGGCTAGTTTTATGTATATGTGTATATATGTGTACATATACACACATACATTCACTGTTATTTCACCCTGATTTACTGGAATAACGAAAGCAGAGGAAAAGGTACAATTTATGAACATAAACATCTATCAGAATTCTTGGCAAGTTTTACATATATTTAATTCACATAAGCCATAGGTAATATACATTGTATGTTATGTCTTCCCTCTGAAGACTGACATACTTAGTCATTTTAAATTATCCAATGAACATTGATCCTTTTAACATTCTTAGGTAAGCATTGTTATTTGTATAGTTGATCAACTGACTTTCCCCAGCCAGTTAATGAAATCATAGAATGTAAGGGGGCAGATAAAGAGACAAGAAGATGTAAAGATCTTAAAGTGAAAAAAAGTGTCAATCAGACATTAGGAAATCACAAGGCAGCTAGCTGTTGGCTCCCTAGTGGTCTTTTAAAAAATCTAGACATATTCTTTAGGTAATTAATAAACATAGACAGCCTTGAGGAGTGTGACTTCTGGCAACAGAGAAGAGAGTCAAGGGGCAGGTAGGTGGCACAGTGGATAGAGCATCGGCCCTGAAGTCAGGAGGAGCCGAGTTCAGATCCAGCCTCAGACCAACCACTTGACTCTTAATAGCTGTGTGACGCTGGGCAAGTTACTTAATCCCAATTGCCTAATTAAAAAAAAAAAGAGAGAGAAGAGAGTCAATATAGAAAGAATTATGCCCACAATGCCCAAGGAATGAGTTGACTTTGCCACGTGTATTTCCCTATGAATGTGCCTCTCTATCAGTGTACCCTGTGTGTGTATCTACACTTTCTACAGAATCTGTATTTGTGGGAGAATATACCCCAAGTTTATGGGGAGAATGTTTTGTAGCTACTGATCTTAGTATGTATCTAGGTTAATTCAGATCTCTATAAAGGTTGAAGGTAATTTAGTAAAACAAACAGCATGGCTTAGGTAGTTTGCTTCTTGATAACACAACAATAAAACGAGAATCTAGAATAGATAAATCAGTTTTTCTCAAGTAGTTTAGCAAACCTTTGGCAATTATTGGTTAATCATTTCAATACTGAATTCTCTAATTGAGGCCTTTAATGCAAATATTCTATGTTGTCAGTTATTAGGAGAACCTCGTGCTATATATTTGTTTTAGATTTTATTTTTATTTCCGTTTCCAAATTCTCTCTAACTCCTCTGCCATCTTGAGAAGGCAAGAAATATGCCCATTATACATACGAAGTCATGCAAAACATATTTCCACATTAGCCATGTTCAAAAAAGGAAGAAAAATAAAAGGAAAAAACATGCTTCAGTTTGCATTCTGAGTCCATCTTTCTCTGGAAGAGGATAGCATTTTATATCATGTATCCTTTGGAGTTGTGGCAGATTGTTGTATTGATCAAAGTTACTAAGTCTTTTCACAGTCAGTTAGCTTTACAATATTGCTATTGCTGTGTAGAGTGTTCTGCTTCTGCTTACTTCACTTTGCATCAGTTCATACAAGTCTCCTCAGGTTTTTCTGAAACTATCCTCTTCATTGTTTCTTACATCACAATAGTATTCCATTACATTCATGTGCCATAACTTGTTCAGCTATTCCCCAATTAATGAGCATCCCCCTCAATTTCCAATTCTTTGCTGCCAGAAGAAAAAAATTGCTGCTGTAAATATGTTTGTACATATGGACTTTTTCCCTTTTTCTTTGATTTCATTGGTATATAGACCCAGTAGCAGTATTATTAGGTGAAATGATATGTGCACAGTTTCACAGTCCTCTGAGCATAGTTCCAAATTGTTCTACAGAATGGTTAAACTAGTTCACAGCTCCCATCAGCAGTGCAGTAGTGGACCTGTTTTCCTACATCCCTTCTGGAATTTGTCATTTTCCTTTTCTGCCAGCTTACCCAAGTTGATGAGTGTGAGATAGTACCCCCAGGGTTGGTTTTTGGGGTTTTTTTGGGATGGCAGTTGGGGTTAAGTGACTTGCCCAGAGTCACATAGCTAGTGTGTGTTATGTGTCTGAGGTCACATTTGAACTCAGGTTCTCCTGACTCAAGGGCTGGGGCTGTCTCCACTGTGCCACCTAGCTGCCTCTCAGAGTTGTTTTAATTTGTATTTCCCTGTTAGTGATTTGAAGCACTTTTTCACATGACTAGTGATAGTTTTGATTTCTTCTTCTGGAAACCACCGGTTCATCCATGTTATGTTTTTTAAAACGTACTGATACGTTTTGTTTTGTCACAACAAATACATCTAGAAATGTCCACCAGAACCAAAGTACATTACACCCAACAGTCAATTAATCATGAACAGAAAGGGTGTCTTTTAACTCTGACAGTATAGTACTAACATTATGTACATATTGTTTTCTTCAGCCTGGAGCACTTCAAATAAGTCTTCCTATGTTTATCTGAATTTCTCATATTCATCATTCCTTATAGTCAGAAATACTGCAGTGCATTCCAGTTTATACTGCCATATCCAAACTTAAAGCATATATTTGTTTCCACCTGTTACATATAATGGCTCCTTTTGTGTATGTGGATCTTAACTTGCTGTTGATAAGCACTTCAGGATACAGTCCCACTAGTACAACCTTGAGATCAAAGAATATGAAACATTTTAATAACTGCAAATTTGTTTTCCTGAATGATTGAAATAATTCACAATTCTGGCGTTAAGTGGATTAGGATCAGGATCCCAGTTTCAAAGTACTTCAACATTCATCCAGCTCAACTCACACTCCTAAAAGAATCTCCACTTACAACATACGTTTGAAGACCTGCAGTAAGGAGAAATCTACTGCCTCCTAAGTCAGCCCATTCCATCTCTGGATTGCTCTAATTTTTAGAAAGTTTTTTCCTTCCATCAAGCCTAGATTTTCCCTCTTTGCATTTTTACGCTTTGATCCAAGTTCTGCCCTCTAGAACCAAAGAAAACAGGTCTAATCCCACTCTTCCTGGCAGGAGATAGCTGTCTATTCATCCCTGATCTTTTTCTTTTGCAAGTTAAACATCCCTAGTTCCATTAACTAGTCCTCATATTGCATGAACTCAAAGTCTTCATCATTCTAGTTGTCCTCCTCTGGATACTCTCCAGCTTATCAGTGTTTTTCTAAAATGTGGGTTTACTCACTATATTCCTTCCCATAACCCCTCTAACAATATTTTCCTATTTCTTTTTACCGTCTTTGCCACATTGATCCCCTATCACCACACATAACATCAAAACACAAAGCAGAATTAGGGGCTATTACTATATTTTGTATACTACTAGAATAAACATTGGCAAAGAAATAGAAATTACAGGGGGAAAAGGGGAGAGACACTTTGGGTATATGCTGACCTGTCATGGCCTGCAACTGCAGGCCATGTGTGTGAGGGGAATAACTCAGTATTGCTTAAATTGCATTTCTCTACTAATGATTTTGAACATTTATTCAGGTAATTGATATTTCTTTTTGAAAAGTGTTCATATTTCTTGACCATTTGTCAGGAAATGACAAATGGGAAGTAAACTATGTGTTTTAGAAACCAGCAGTCATGAGTTTACTACAGGTATTAGTGTTATGAAAGTGTAATAGCAACAGTCATTATATTCTTGCCCAGAAAGAAAAGCAATCCACTTTTGTAAAAGGGCTCCTTGCAGGTAGGGTTAATAGTTGGTGAGAAAATATATTTTAATTGCATTTCCTTATACAGTTCTTTCTGTGGTTGAGACTCCAGAGTTCTTACCATGAAGCATAAAAGAAATAGTTTTCAAACGTTTTCGTAATCCTTCCTCAGTATCTGACCCTGCGATGGAGCCCTTTCCCAAGATCCCTCTAGTCATGAGATCATGAATTGGAGAGGTCAAGGGAGAGGAAGAGGAACACACCTGAGACAGTTTACAAAGAATTCAGGATAGAAGGAGGAAGGCCTAGTTGCCTCCCATCTTGAAGCCATGCAGGCTTTTTCAGTCATGCGCTTAATACTGGTGCTCTGCCTTCCCCTTCAAAGACCCTGAAAGAAGGGGCTAGAGCTAATGCTGCCAGTTTAATGATGCAGCTAAAGCAGCTGGGAATGTGAGCACTGAGCCTGGCTGACCAGGTTGGGTGAGA